TTAATTTGTAACCTATTTTTTTTTTTTGGTTCACGAACTTCATGTTTCTAATAGCATATTTTTCTGAAGCACAAATTACCGTCTTTTCTACCCTCTTTTGCTTGGTATAGCCATTATCTTTCATGCCATCAAAATAATATTAATTATTTGTTATACAATCTTGGGGAAGGTTGTGACCACTCTCTTACTCATTTGTTCTGCATTCAAGGTATCACTTTTTTTTTTTTTTAATCTCTTATTGCTGTCACTCCAATGTATGATCTTTAATCAAGGTAATGAAAGATATATATATATATATATATATATATATATATATATATATATATATATATATATTTGGAACACTATAATCTTGAAGAGTCATAAGTTTTTATTGATATTTGTAGATATTTATAGATTTTTTGTTTTGTTGTGAGATGTTTTAAATTTTGTTAGTATCTTTATTATTATTATTTTAGAAGTTTGTAGATCACCATACTCCCTAGATGTTTTAGTAAAGTATCACATTATATACTTATGAATTTATTATAAATATATAGGCTATCAAGGAAAGATGGGAAAAAAAAGAGATGCATTTTGGGATCATGTTGAATAATTACAAGGTTGTTTCATGTGTAAGTATTGTAACTTTAACTATCTTGGAGGTATTTTAAGAGTCAAATCACACTTATATGGGGTAAAAGGTAGAGACGTTGAAATTTGTTCAAAAGTACCTCAAGAGATTCAAGCAGCTGCATTTTTAGCAATTGGTGGTTCGAACAAAAAAATTAAGACTACAGTTACTCCAATTGATGTTGAGCAAGGTGGGTCTGTTAATTTTTCCTCTTCATCTTCAAAGGGCTTACAACAATCTACCATGCCAGAAACAATTAAGAAGATGGATAAGAGTGATGTGGATAAAAAAATTGCCAAACATATTATTTTGAATAATATTTCATTTAATGTCATTCAAACTCAATGTTTTATAGATTTCTTGAGAAGTGTTGCTGAATTTGGGTCAACATACAAATTACCTAGTTACTCAACTTTACGCACAAAGCTAATACCAAATTCTAGGACAGAAGTAGATGCATACATTCGGAATGTGAAGAAAACTTGGGTTGATAAAGGTTTCACACTAATGTTAGATATATGGAGTAATATGAAGTAACGTGCCTTTATCAACATAATTGCATATTCACCTGGTGGGGCAATATTTATGAATTCATTTGAAATTTCAAATGATAAAAAATTAGGTGTTTATCTAAAAGATATTATGTCATCAGTAATTGAAGATATTTGACCTAATCACATTGTGCAGCTCATTACTGATAATGCATCAAATTTTGAATTAGTTGGTGACATGCTTATTGGTAAATACCCTCACATGTATAAAACATGATATGCTGCTCATGGGATTCAGCTACTATTAAAAGATATTTATTCTAAAGTTTTGTGGATACATGATCTTATTGATGATGCAAAATTAATTGTGACATATTTGTACAAGCACATTATTATTTTGTCATTAATGAGAGAGCACACAAATCATAAGGAACTCAAACATCCTTGTGCGACTAGATTTGCCTCCAAATTTTTTATGGTTCAATCAATTTTAGAAGTTGAAGATGGATTGCGATTACTTGTGGCTTCTTTTGAATTGAGGGAGTTGGATTACAACAAAAGAGGGATGGGACTAAAGGTTGCTAGTATTATTATAAGTGTTGAGTTTTGGAGTAAAGGGAAATAAGTAATACAAACTCTGAAGCCTTTAGTTAGAGTTCTTTGTTTGGTTGATGGAGATGGTTCAACTGCAAGATATTTGTATGAGGCGATGAAAAGGGCAAACAAAACTATTAAACAACGTTATTGTATTAATCAAGCTAATTACATGCAGATATGGGTATTATTTGAAAAACGGAGAAATGAAAATGTAATCCACCCAATACATGTAGCAGCTGCATTTTTAAATCCTGCCTTTATGCATAGCGAGGACTTCAGAGAAAATTGTGAAATGAAAGACGGTATAGATTTTATGTTAGGAAATTTTATTGTTGAAGAAGAAAATTAAGATTTTATTCGAGAACTGCAATTTCACCATATGAAAACCACAACTTTATTCACAAATACAGCAAAGACAATGTTGAAAACATCTCATCCTCGTAAGTTTTTATTTTAATTTTTTAAAGTATCTTGTTAAAATTATAATAAGCTTTATATATTTAGTTTTTTATTATTATTAATTTTTTTATTGCGCGTAGGAGTTTGGTGGGATTATTGTGGGGATTGTCTTCCTGTGCTACAAAGGTATGCCATTCGTATATTGAGTCAGCCTTGCAGTTCTTCTTCATGTGAGTGAAATTGGAGTGTTTGGGAAGCTGCGCAAACAAAGAAAAGGAATAGGTTGGCACCTACAATGTTGGACAACCTTGTATACGTAAGGATGAACACAATGATGATGGAAAAATTCAAGACACTAGAAGCACAAGATTTGGAGCCAATTAATCTCGACAAACTTAGTGAAAATCTTGAATATGTTGATCACGCAGAATTGGAGGATTATTCCTTAGAGACAACAGATGACGTTTCTAGTGATATAGTCACCAATGATGAAGATCTTTCTTGTTTAAATGGTGTTATCTAAATTTAGAACAATTTTTTATTTTTATTTTCGGCAACATAGTTGATTATTTGAATTAGAATTTTTTCATTAATTTTGTGATGAAATTGATCATGTTATGGACATATGGTTATTGCTTCATTATATTTAGATAGTTTATTATTATTTTTTTTATGATTATTGTGATAGTGTCAATTGTAATATATTTATTTTATTATTTGTTACATATTCTTTATTGTCTTTACAAATATATGATATATAAGAAAGTAATAAGATGTGTATAACCAAATTTTTTATCCCAAATTCTTAGTGTATATAACATATTATACACGTACGTATTCGTCTTTGTATTTTTATGTTTTCGTATTTTTTTGTCTAATTTTTTAAACGTATTTAAAAAAAATATATCGAATTATACTTGTACGTTTTCGTACCCAGTATTTTTTCCGTACCGTATTTTATTAACTATGAATGAGTATTTGAAGTCATTAATCAGTCGAGCACATTGGAGTATTGCAAGAAACACTTTGAACTATTGGGTATTGAAAAAAAATTCCCCTGAGTTATAAAAAAAATTCATGAACTATTGTCTTGTTGCAATTTATCTAGTAGCTCATCGGATGTAGTTTTAATCCTTAGAGCATTTTCAGCAATATGTTTAAAATATCATTTTGTGTAAAATATACACAGTCACGTATGATATATAAATTATTTTTATCTCCAGCAGTTTGTTAAGATACACTATCACATCATCAATGTGTAAAATTGTTATGTATTTTATGCAACTTTTTTACAAAGCCACGTTAACATATTTTCTTTTTCCTCCCTCTTTTTCATTCCAAATATGCATATTTTAATAATTTAATTACAACTTTAATAGTTTAAGAAATTTACTTGTTAATTCTTCAATAATTCAGATTTTATTTTATTATTTTACCCTATTTAGTATTGAAATAATAATCATGTTTGTCAAAAAATCATAGTCAGTTATGAGGTGCATTATGAGTGATAATAGTTCCTTGTGAGATCCGGTATTGGTGATGGTGATGGGATCCATTATGAGTGATGGTGATGTGTTACACATGATGTGTTGCCACAATATTGAAAACCATTCGATCATATTATAAACAAGTCCAAGTCTTTAGTTAAAGATACAGAGCTCACTTATAGGTTATAATATATAAAAATATCATTTTAATTTTATAAGACTCCGAATTTTTTTTTTAAATATAATTTTTTGTGTTTTATGTTGTTGAAAATACAATACTCATTAGTTCCAAGTAATGAGTTGTCAACTAAAAATAATTGTGTTATACGTACAATATTACACGGTGCATTTGCAGTTTAAAATGTGTAGAATTATTTATAAAAAATATATATATTTTTAGTATTTAATTGTCGTAAAATATTTACGAAAAAAAAAATTATTAAAACTTAACAAAAATAACTTACTTATTAATTTTCGACAAATTATTTTATATGTCCTGATGGACTCGACCAATATCTTTATCAAACACCAAAAAAATAAAAACAAAGAAAATATTTTACCTAAAAAAAGAAAACAAAATTACCACAAAAATATTTTACGTCCAAACAAACGGACCGTAAAGATAAAAAGAATTAAAATATAAATTAACGCATGATTTAAAATATCACTCGCAACCGAATTGGCTTGCCTCAGCGAGCTAGGTATAATTGGCTTTTAATTTAATAATAAGAACAAGTGGTATATTTAATAAAAACGGTATATAAAATGATTTAATGTCAATTATAGAGTGGTTAAGCCAGAAAAATGAATGATTATTTTTGGTATTGAATCAGATTAATACAATAACGACTATATTATTACATTTGTTCTTACGGGTTAACGTTTTAGGCAATGTAATGTTAATTTTGTGGATGCTTTATTTAATTTATAATATATATATATATATATATATATTCATTTTATTCTTGAAATTTCTAAATTTTCATAATTCTTGTTTATTTTTTAAGCCTTGTACATAATGCCAAAACCCTTTTTTTCAATCTCAGGTCAATGGTTGATATGATGATTAAAAACATGATTCTATTGACAGAGGCATCATATTTAGGGTCGTTTGGCATGGCGTTTTGTTTTTTTTTTTTTTTTTGGTAAAATTGTGTTTTTGCTATACGAGTGTTTCGAAAAAAAAATATCAAAAGGATGTTTGGAGACGATATTTTATTGTAAAATTGTCAGAAACAAAAATATGAATAATTATGATTTTGGGCCATAAATAATTGTTAAAATAAAAAAAATAATAATTTTTTGGTATTTTAGTTTTGAATCACTATTCATGAAGTATTTTAATGCTGTGTAAAATAAAACAAGATCGCATCAAATATGTTTTTGTTACCACAACCCACACCATCCAAAATGTATACAATTCTCGGCAAGCCATCCAATATTTCAAAGCAAATAAATTCTTACACACGCGTCCTGTACCATTACAGTGAACAAGACAACAATATTAGCTTATCCCCACTTGAACCAAGCTGAACCAGCTTGGTGGTTGACTGCTAATAAGATTTTGTCAATTCATAAAGAAGCTATGTTGTAACAATACACTGTTATACATGTGGCTCATTTCATATAAGATCTTGGTGATCGATATGATTTATTTAGGCCAACTCTTATTTTACTAGCTAGCAGCCTAGCATACTAAAATCAAAATAATTAATCACACCCCCAATTGTCTTATTTAGTGATTTAGTTGATAAAGTGTCCAACTCTTCCGATACTTAAGTCCTCCATCTTTTAGTTTGCCAGAAAAAGAAAAGACCCCGACCAGAAACTCGCGCACTCGACTAATCCTTTTTACAACAAGTCAAAATAATAATTTAATCAAATGCTATTGATTTCAAATAATACTCCACTCTTCTCTGAGCTCATTTTTCAACTCCAACATTTGATTTTCCGGCAGGATCACGGTTATCGTTCTCCCTTCTTGACATCCCGTTTCGAGATTTTTCGGCCCTGGAAGCACCAAAACAACCCCTTTGTTGCCGACCCCAGAAATCGTATAATTTACAAAAACCGGGGCATGCCCATTCATTTTCAGCCCGTACATATTTGCCTCTTCCAAATTTACAAATGTTAGGTTTGCCCCGTATACTAAAAAGTCCGATTTTCCATTCTCCATTTCCACCAATTCCTCAATCATTTTTCCCTCGTCCATCCTTTCTTCGTCAATCAGCTTCATCAATTCGGATAAATTGGCATCCTCAATGTAGAAATCCGCTCTAACAATGCTAATCACTTGGCCATTGCTAGGGTTTTCATTCTCCCTCCTGTGAGAATTATTGTTGCAAATTGTCACAATCCTCGGAACCGAATTCCCCCCAACTTTGGCAAAAGATTTCCACATCAAGGCTGAAAGGAGTTCGAAATGTGGGGCTTTGGCAACTTGGTTTAATCCACAAGCCTTAACGAATACGTGGTTGAGCTGTTTTGGGGTCACATGAAAAGAATGTGTTTCCATCTTGCAGTTACTGGCACTGAGCCAATAATCCCCAACAGGGTCCACCTTTTCCACGGAAAATGGTTTCTTGGCAAGGGGAGAAGGGAATTGGGGTTTTCCATCGTTTGGCATGTCGAGGGACTGAGTTGGGGAATTACCTGCCAAGATCTGGCCCCACATGTTGATGAAGTCTGAGGCTGATAAAATATCCCCAAGGATGTGGGCCCAGCTGAGTCCCACCGAGAGTCCTCCACACTTGAACCATGTTAACTGAATGCAGTTGGATACAAAAATTCTTGTTTCAGATCAATGGAAATGGAAAGTTGCAAGGGAAAATCAGAGGAAAGAAATGGGAAATTTTGTGGTATATTACTATGTGTTATTGTTCGCAATGTTCTGTATTATATTTCAAGTGTCTTGTTATCGGAGTAATTGGGTGGACAAGAATCCTCTCCAGTGCAGGAGAGGTCCTGCACAGAATTTAGTGATTGAAATTAAATTGATAAATAAGGTTCATTAGTGATCATGCAATCTCAACTACTGAATTCTTGTAGGACCTTTCCTGCGCTAGAGAGAATCCTTGATCGTAGTTGAATTGCTCCATTTGTTGAGAATCCGTGTTTAGAGTCTTTCTTCATTACTCCCTCTTTTAACAACTAAATCATTAACCCCAAACAATCTTTTCGTTAAAATCGTTAAAAATAAATAAATGCAATACAAGTTTTTTCAGCTTTCTCAACCCTTTGTTTCATGAAGAGACTAAAGAGGTGCCAATTTGACTAAAATTGTGGCCACCAGTGTGCAGTGAATTCAATCTAATGTTTTTTTCTGAATGGTTGGCCATCAATTACATTTATTTGCCCTAATTAACACTGCATTATTTTACTGGAAAACTAGATAAAAAGTTTGCAAGTTGGGACCTGTCACTAAAGTCCTTTTAATGCCAACTAAATGAAATAGCTATCATGGGACATGTGTGAAAAGACTTTATGATAAACACGTTCTTTCAACGTCTCTCCATTCAATTTCAATAATCATCTCTCCTCTTTAAAAGGAGTATTAGTGTGTTGGAGCTCCGCCGGAGTTTGTGAGCTTGTTTAGTTCAGTTTTATAAAAATAATTTTTTATTTTTAAAAAATTAAACACGAAAAAATTATACAAAAATTTAATTTAGTTCACTTTAAAAAATTAAACACGAAAAAATTATACAAAAATTTAATTTAGTTCACTTTTTTAAAAATTATTTTGTAAAAAAATTTGGATCTGTTCGATTTGTAATTATGTTTAGTTCAGTTTTATAAAAATAGCTTTTTATTTTTAAAAAATTAAAAACTAAAAAATTATACAAAAATTTAATTTAGTTCACTTTTTTAAAAATTATTTTCTAAAAAAATTTGGGTCTGTTCGATTTGTAATTATGAAAACATTTTTCTATTCTCAGAGAATTGAAAACAAAAAATTTGTCCAAAATTGATTCAATTTTTAAAAAATTATTTTCTAAAAGTTACAATTATAAAAATGCATGCTTTCAAATAACTATAAAATATTATTTTCTGAGAACAATTTACTAAATTATTGAGATTCAGAAAATTGTTTTCACAGTTATAAACCAAATACTCTGAAAACAATATGTTTGATTTGTAACTCTCAAAACAGTTCTTAAGAATTCAAAAAATAAAAAATTATTCTTAAAGAGAAGTATGTTTTATACTCCTCTAAAAACAAATATTTTTATAACTGAGCTTTCAGAAAATCGTACAATAGAGAGTTTTTTTTTTTTTAGTTTTCAATTTTCTGGTAACAGAAAATGTTTCATAGTTAATTATAAAAATGCCAATTTTTAAATAATTATATAAAAAAATTATTTTATGAGTTCTTGTTAATCATAGTTGGAAAATTGAATTAATCAGACCCATATTTCTAACCAGGTCCAATATTGTCGGTGTGTATAACTTTTAAGAAGAAAAAAAAAGAAAAGAAAAAGACACGAGTTAAGAGGATGCTCATGATGACTAGCAAGTCCTACAAAATATATTCAAACTAGAAAAGATTTAGGAAAAATTACATAAAAATGGAGTTAAAGTTCCATATTTACTTAGAGGCTGAGTCAAAGTTTCATATTTCTCTAAAATGGATTGCTGAGGTGGCACATAGTTTTTTACTGTTTAGAAATTGTGGTGCCTAAAATACCCTTCCGCGAAGGTACTACTTTTTCTTCGAAGGTACTACTTTTTTGAACTGAAGGTACTACTTTTTGGTGTCCAGGTACCATGTTTTTTAAACACTCGCGAAGGTACTACTTTTTCTTCGAAGGTATTATTTTTTTGAACTGAAGGTACTACTTTTTTGAACCGAAGGTACTACTTTTTTGTTAGGGAAGGGCATTTTAGGCACCAAAATTTTCTAAACAGTAAAAAACCATGTGCCACCTCAGCAATCCATTTTAGAGAAATATGGAACTTTGACTCAGTCTCTAAGTAAATATGGAACTTTAACTCCATTTATATGTAATTTTCCCAAAGATTTAACCAATCATATATATATTACCTGAATGAAAACAAGAGGCGAGAAATTGAGATCAGGACCAAGGGCATGGTTGTAAACAAGTTGATCATCAAGACAACGATCCTTCATGCCAAGCCATTCCTCAAGGGTTCTGCTACACTTTGCTTCGACGATCCGTACACCGCCGTCGTTGCACTTGATGAACGGCCGTCCTTTCTCCGGCAGCCGGATCCTCCCGGAGATGGGGGAGTACAGAACTAGCCAAGGAAACATTGCCTCCTTCAACTTAAAGATGTCCGTCCCATCCATTGCTTCACTCTTGAAGAAGTAGAGCCCTTTAATGTAGTGAAGCTTCATTGCCAAGTCCATGTTTGTGAGCTCATGCACCTTGTCCTCTCCGGTAACCCTACCCGGCACCACCGACGATAGCAGAATGTCAGAAACAGTGTTTTCGATATGAGTTGACGCCATGGTAGGGAGAGAGTTGTTTACTGTGAATTTTATGAGAGGTAACGAATATGAGAAGAGATAGGTTGGAAATTTAATTATATATACAAAAGAACTCCTCTCGCATATATACAAATATATAGAGAGAGATATATATATTGCAAGGCTTGCAAGAAAGTCCTGTGATGGAAGCAAATGATACAATATCTGTTATCTACACAAATTAATTAGGGTTGCTACAGAGTGTTGTCAGGTCAGGACTGGTGTGAGTTTAATTAATTAGGGTTGCTATAGAGTGTTGTCAGGGCTGGTGCGAGTTTAATGAAAATCGTGCCGTACTTGAATTTAATTAATAAATCAATGTATTATTGTAATGTCAAAATATGCTGTAAATTGATAATAGACCTAAGAGAAAATTAAATGTATAATAAAATCTTCTTTTTTTTTTTTTTTTTTTTTTTTTTTGGAGAGGTTGGTTTTTCAAGACATTTAGCACCAATAATAATTTATTTTTAATTTTTCAATTGCCATTCTAATTAGATTTTTAATAATTTAAAAAACAATAATAAAGTTGATTATTAAATAAATAAATATTCATACAATATATAACAATGGGAAAAGAAAGTAAAAATAAAAAACATGTTTGTAGCAGTTCAGTCCTCTGGTGGAGGAAGCTCCCATCGACGTAGTGGCTGCTGCCTGAGAATTGCGCCCAGTCAATTTAACCTTCAGTTTCTTTCTTAATTTCATGCGAAATTTTTTCCCTCTTCCAATCCAATTTTATTTATTTTAAATTATAATTTTAATTAATTTTCTGTTTCAACAATATTATTTCCTTACATGTATAAAATTATATATACACAGAAGCAAACTAAATAGATACCCTGTGCAAAATAAGGGCCGTTGAGCAACCACAGTTGCTTTATGTTTTTGTTTTGACTGGAAATAGAAGTAATGTTTCCGCTTTAGAGTGTATTCAACACTATTTCGAAACTTGTTTGGTAAGGTAAATTTATTGTAATATTTTTGAAAGCAAAAACATAAGATCATGTTTAGTAAAAAGTGTTGCAAGTTTGAAATTTTGAATGGTTAGTTAAAAATATTAATTTTGATTTTTTTTTTAACAGTACTTTGCTACAGTGCAGAAGCAAACAAATGCATCTAATTTTGGTCTCAATTTTGAAAGTGCTTCAGTATTATTCAAATGATAGAAAACATTACCAACATGCTTCGTACTTTTTCTTTGCTGCAATATACTAACAAAAACAAAAAACACAAAGCAAAAACTAAATGGTCACATCATTTTCTTTTTTCTTTCCCTTAACCTCTTTTCCTTGTCTATTATTACAATTACTTTTTTAAAAATTTATTCTTTTTAATATAATTATGTAGGCTTAAACCTAGTAGTGCGGAAAGCATAGATGCTTATATATATATATATATATGCGCAGGGACGGATCTAAGAATTTATATGAGGGGAGGCAAATTTATATAGAGGGATTTTTTCATAATTTCAGTAGGAGTAATTTAAATTTTTTTTGAATATAAATGCAAAAAATATAAATTTAAGAATATAAAATGTAATAATAAAAAAATTTAGTTAGGACGCGTGCCCACATTGAACCCTTCACATATCCGTGCCGGGTTTGAAGCTGCTTGTATCAAATTAATCAAAGGGTTCTGCAATTATTATTACTGTTTATTTATATAACTGAAAAGGAAGGCGCGCTGGATATATATGTATTTTTATTTTGTTGTGTTATGCCAAGGACTTGAAATTTGGCATATGCGAGAACATTCTTGTGAAATCAATAAATTTTCAATTTATTTTTTATTTTTTATTTTTTATAATAGTTTTCCATATTCATTTTTTTGGTTCTCTGTTTGAAACAGAGAATACAGTTGCAGAATTAAAATAAAAAATTAAAAAAAATACGTATTTAGGACTAGAGGGAGAGAGAAGAGGTGTAAAAGAATGAGGGTTAATAAACAACATGTGAGGGGTAAAAGGGGAAGATAAAAGAGTAAAATCGGATTTTCAAATTTATTTTTAATCAAAAAAGTAGTAATGGATTATTTATACTCTTTTTAAATATTATGAATTGAAATACATATTTAAAAAAAAAAAACCTTATTGCACACATAATTTATATTACAATGAAATTTTCTGCCCTTAACCTTTGTTTAAAATCATTTTATTTGTTACGAATTATGTACTTTTTAATAATTAGAAATTACATATTTTTGTCGAGCAGTAAAAAATTGAACCACATGTTTGCTTGTTAATCATTAGTGTCAGCATCATCACCTTTAATTCTTGGTTTTTATTTATTTTATATATATATAAACTATATAATTGGAGATAACCCTATTTACTATATATATATATATATATATTTATATTTTCCCATATTTTCCCATGTACATATATATATATATTTATATATTCACTTTTGGCACTTTAACCTGTACAGCAAATGTTTTTTTTTTGTAGCTGACCCTATTTACTATATATAACTGTTGCAATTAACCCACAGTTATCACGAAAAAAATAAAAATAAAAATGTAGGTGATTTTTAAGACGCAAAGAGAAGGATGCTTTTACCATGAACAGTACTCGTGTTTTTGTCGGACACTTTCCTAACAACCGATACTTTTTAACATTTTTAGTACGAGTTTATTTGGTAATTTTAAAAATAATATAAATAAATTTTAAAGTATTTAATTTTTTTCTTTAAAAATAATTTACATTATGTTTGATCACACATTATAAAATTATATTTGTTCATTTAAGACAAAATTGATGACAATGTATATGATATAAAAATCATTACAATAATAATATAATTTTATTTCCTAAATTATTTCAAAACAACTCTTAATATAGAAATTAGAATTGAATCAAAATTTTATAATACTATTAATATTCAATAAATGTATATAAATAAAAATTTATATTTTATATATAAACATCATACCTATGTCTTACTTTTTCAAATTTTGATGTGTAATGTCAGTGTCCCAAGTTCATGTCGGGTACTTATAGAAAATTACTTTTTATATTTGAATATGTATCATCTCATTTCTCAATGACTGGATTCAAAATTTTAAGATAGTAACAAGTGACTACCTTTTTACATGAAAAATACTTTAAAAGTCGGATAATTTTGGCTTAAAATCATTGATCGAATAGTGCTGGTCATAGGTAAGATATTATACATAAGGTTTGTTTGTTTGGATGAAAAATATTTTTTAATTTTTTTTCTTTTAGGTAAATATATATATATATTTTTATATTTAACAAAAATTTAGGTCAAAGTTAAAATCGAATCCATTAAACAGAACAAATAAAATAACTTGTTAAAAATTAACGCCGTAAATTATTTTTATTAGATATTAATATTTTTTTCTTTTAAATATTTTATAACAATTAAATCTTATAAAATAAAAAATATATTTTACATCCCACAAAATGTCACTGCTTATCCAAAGATTTCTTTGCAAATTTCCACTCATTCAAAATTAGTTGGGATGTATCCTAATTAATGACTTGTTTGGTTGGCTGTTACGTGACATTATTAGAGTACGATGACCAGAAGTTAGAAGTGCATGCCACGTGTCTGTCTTTTTCCAGTATTATAGTTTTGCCTTTGGGCGATGCAACGTCCCATTCTGATCACGCATTTATATGACTTGTCGAGTGAAATATCACGGAAAATATCATGGTTTAATTGTCGATCGAGATATATATATATACACCTAGGTTTTGTGAATCACAACTTTTAAAGGTGCAGCGATTAATCACGAACCTGAAGAAAAAAAAAAACAAAGAGAAAAAGAGGAAGGTGATCGTAAAAAAAGAATACGGGAAAGCTCAGCAATCTCTAAAACTAGAGAAAATTTATTTTTATCCTATTTTTTTATTGTACCGATTGAATTACTGCTGGAGAAGAAAACTTATTCAAAACCCCAGATAGAGAGAAAAAGCCAATCCCGAATCAAATAGTGATGTTGTGAATACTCCCGAATTTTTGTACGTGATTCGAATACAAGATGATCATATAATTCTTAAAATCAGATAATTGAATCATACGTAAATCTATTGAGAAATTTGTAGAAAAAAATATTTAAATATTTATGATATATTACTAACATATATGTAATTGTGTGTGTATATATTTCTATTGGTATATACCCATTTTCTTCCGGTCATCTTCACAGTATTTATCTAACGTGCCAAGCCACGTTAGATTCGATCGTTTTTTCGGGGTTATTCTTCGGCCCCCTTATCATTTTTCTTTTTAAAGTACTCAATTATTTTAGTATAGAGAAAGTATATATAAATATCAAAAAGACTAAATAAATAATTTTTTTAACAAATAACCACCAAAAAAACAGTTTAAATAAAAACATGTCGATCTAAAATAGAGTTTGGTAACTTGGTCCCATTGTCATCCCTCCAAATATGGGCCAAAGACCTAAAATAAAAAATAAAAAAATGGTTATTATAAATGTTTTTAAATTACAATTTTTTTTTTTTTTTTTAGTTTTATAATTAGTACATTCTCTTTCTTCTTCTTTTTTTTCTTTTTTTTTTTTTCTTTCTACAGTAGTACTCCATAACAAACAAAATAATGTATTGTCATATTCTCTTATCTTCCATCAAAACAAATAAAAAGAGGAAATGACACAATTTCTTTTCTAAAATGTTTTATTTATCAATTCTTCTCTCCCTTCCATCTAAATTTATTCCATCCTACCAAATCGAGCTTAGTGTGACAATGTGAAATCTCAACACGAATTCAATCCAAACAAAAAACTTTAAGAATGGATTGGGCTTGGATCATTTAGCTTAGACTGGAGGTTCGATTGGGTGGAGTTAAGATGGGTTAGAGTTCAACGTTTCATATGTACCTTCAGTCCGAGAGTACTTATTTATAAAGAAAACGACTGGGCTATACCACCTTCACAATGGCCCAAATTTTTATTTAATGCCTCCTACAACATCATTTGTTTAGATTTAAATATTTTTCAGAAAATATATATATATTTTTATTTTCTAGTGTTTAATTGTCTTTAAAATATATATAAAGAAAAAAATATTAAAATCTAACAAAAATAACTTACCCATTATTTTTTGACAAGTTATTTTACAAGCCCCACCTGATAGACTCGACTTTAATCTCTAACTAAACCTTTGTCAAATACTAAAAAATATATTTTACCTGAAAAATAGAAATCTCTTTTGCCAAATACCAAAAAAATATAAATAAAAAATATATTTTACCTAAAAAATAGAAATACTTTTGAAGATAAATATTTTACGTCAAAACAAATGCAATCGTAGTGCCTCTATATATAAAATAAATAAATAAATTTGTCCCATACTACTAAAACATCACTTTATGTGCGAACTCTGTTTTGAAATTTTCCAAGTCTTATCATCAAATTTATTAATATGGTATAAAGAAAAAAATATAAAAAATACCAACTCTTATCATCGTATATAGTATTACTATATATCTATAATCAAAATGTGATGTGTCAAGTGCTTCTCTAAGGTTGTGTTTGGTGGGAAGGAAGAAAAAAAATATAGAGAGAAAAATAAGAAGGAATGAAGGAACTCTCTTTGTTCTTAGAGATGATACATGGAAATAAATTTTTTTTCATCCAAAAATGGGCCAAAAAAAGGAGGGAAGATAAGATGACTATTATAGAAATATTAAATTAAAGGAATATCCGCACTCTACTTTTCAAGATTTCCGCTGCAATCCTAAATGAAATGGCAATTATAACATTTAATTTTACAAATAAATAATTATTAGAGTCCATTCATATTTTTTCTCCTTATTTCTAATCTTTAATATTTTAAGTATATTTTGACAACACAAATAAAATAAAATAAATTTTGAATAAATTTTTTTAAGGGAACAAAATAAAACAAAATTTTGTTATGTTGAATAAATTGCCTCTTTTGACCGTATCAGAAAAATAAAAGTAACCATTTAAAAAATTATCTCTTCTCACCTAAAAAAAAAAATCCTAAAAAATATATTTATTGAAAAAATTATATTTGTTGTCAAGATCCCAAAATAATAATAATAATAATAATAAGTACAAAAGGAAGATGATTAAAAAAAATTATTTTTTTTGATAAGACCCAAAAATATAAAAAATTTATATTTTTATTGAATAAATTATTTCTTTTGATAAGACCCATAAAAAATTACCAAAAAATAAAGTTACCTCTTTTGACATAATTGAAAAAAAGTTAATTTTGTTGAATAAATATCTTTTTTGATTGTACAAAAAAAAAATACTATGGAATAAATTATCCCTTTTGACTGCAAAAAATAAATTTATTAGTATAGAAAAAATTATTTTCTTTGGCAGGATCTCCGAAAAAAAAAAATTCTTTGGAAAAGATTTAAGATTTTTTTTTTCAAATAAAATATTTTTTATTTTTATTTTTCGATATTTGGCAAAAATCTAGGTTTAGATTGAAACCGGGTAACTCGAGTCACATGACGTATAAAATAACTTGTCAAAAATTAATGAATAAATTAATTTTATTAAATTTTAATTTTTTTTTTACAAAATATATTTCATTAATGGTTTGATGAATAGAGGGTGGTCATGAAACCTAGTAATGAAAAAAAAAAAAAAAAAACAAACAAACAAAAAAAACCTAGTAAGGAATACCCGACCCGACCTGAATTAGGTATGGAACCATATGTCACACCGAGCGCGTGATCTTTACATGGCAGAAGTAAGCCTATGCGTCAGTTTAGCCTTTCGAATCGCGTCTGAGTTTCTGATCCTCAAATCAACCATATCTGACATTCATGGCAACAAATATTATATTATTATTTTAAAATTCTTATTTTTTATATTACTTTCATTCCACTTTTTATTATTTATTTATTTTCACTTTTCTCTCTCTCTCTCTCTCTTTCCTCGATGAAATCACGAAACTCTCTTCTTCGTTCTGTACAAATACTAGTTTTGATTCCATTTATTTCGTGAATCTTTTTTATTTTCTTTTTATGCTCACATAAATTTTTTTATTTTAAAAAAGTTCTTTTTAGCTTTTTAGTGTTTGGGTAATGAGAAAACCAGAGGGTAGATTTTCTGGGATGGACTCTGGACTCTCAGGTAAGTTTCAAACTCTCTCTCTCTCTCTCTCTGGTGGATTTATAGCCAATGCTGATGATTGATGGTTCTTTAAGTACTCTAAGATGTTGATATTTACTCTTGGGTTGTAATTTTTTGGACCTGTTTTACAATATTTGTTACTATCTTTAGCAATTTTTATTGCTTTGTTATTGACAATGCAGGTTAGGTAGTTCAGGGTTAGTACAATTTTCTTGTGGTTCTGTTTTTTACATGGAAAATAGCTCCTAAGAAAACTTTCTGGGAATTTTTTCTTTTGAGTCCCCTTTTGTCTTTTTGATGGATTTTCAATTATGAACTTTGGTAAACATTATCATGTCACCTAGATTATCTCCAGGACATACATCTTCTTAGGCTAGAATATATATATGTATATATACATATTTCTTTTTCTTTTCGTTTTTTTTTTTCTTGGGATTTTTTTTCCTAAACTAAATTTTCGGTCCAACCAAATACTGTGGTTGTATGTGGTTGTATGGGGTTGAGATAAACTTTTAATTTTTGCAGAATATCTATGCAAAATAAATAAATGAGGGTTGAGATAGAACTCTAACATTGATGCAATATAAGTAAATAAATTAACAAAGAATGTGTTTTTTCCCAGTTGTATCTCATAATTAATATTTGTAGTTGTGAATGAAAAATGTTTTTAAGTTGCACCTATCAAATTAACTTTTTTTTTTTTTTTGACACATCAAAAAAAATATTAACCTTTTTTTTCGGTACTAGAGATTTTATTCTAGGATGGTGACTGTAGAAGGATGGAATTAGTAGCCTCTAAGATGAATTGAAGGTGAACTATATGGGTGAGGGGAAGCCTTTATAAAACAGTAACAGTAAGAATTTTCTATATTGTAAGAGAAATTTTTTTATATTTTATTTTTCTTTTTTGATAAGTAAGATTGTCCTCAGAAGCTACATTGGGCCAAATAGGGTCTCTAAATTCTCAAAGAGTCCAAAAAAAAAAAAAACTACCTCCCCTATGAAATTACAATTTCTCCTTAGAACCCTACAAAAAAAGAGTACAATAATGGAGAACTTTAGCGTACCAATAGGAGTCGTCTTTCCTTCAAATGATCTTCTTTTTCATTCAAGCCATAAACACCAGCAGATGCACAAAAGCGCAACCCTCCAGAAATCACAAAATAACTTCAATGGAGGAGGCTAAAGTCAACCTTAAAACAATTGAAAAAAACTGTGGCCTATGATTTTCACAATGCAAATGATCATGACAGAAACAACAATTGCAATAATACATGACATAGTTGAGTTTTATTGACGTAAATAAATTCGCGCATTCTTTTGACACTTCTCTGGTTATCTACTCATATGCGAAACTCAAACAGTAATGCTCTTATTTGATGTCACTTATTTTGACCCTTCTCTGTCTACACTAATGAATTATATATTGAAATTTGCAAAAACAAACATTGAGACACTAATTGAAAATTCAACATGCTATTACATGCATCAGTTAGGAACCGTGAATGTCAGTGATGACCGATGAGTCTTAGTTGATTTTGTTTATTTATTTATTTATATATATTTTTTTGTAACTTATGGCAAAGCCCCACCTTTTTCTTTACATGCAGACGGCCAGGGGAATATTCTGAAACTAATTTGATGACTATCTAAATCATTTGTTGTATGATATGACAAAAGAGTTGAAGATAAAGAAGTTTTTTCTTTCTTTTTTGGATCACTAATGCCGATTCTATTTATACGAGTCTTTTATTTTGGACTTTGATAGATATTTGTTAGCTGATTATAACCTAACCATGCTAGTAGATTGATTATATAGATGGGAATAATTTCATAATATAACTTTGAAGAGCTATGAATGGAAATTTTTCTTGAATCTGGAAGACAATAGTTCTGCATTCATGCTCGACTTTATTTGCGTGTCCAACTGAAATTTGAATTTAAGTTTCAAACGTGTATTCTCCATTTCTCAGGCTCTGTAAATGTTCCTGCAAAATGTAGTCAGCTGAGTTTGGGAGAGAGAAGGGAACTAGTTCACAAAATTGCTCAATGGTCAGAAGATGCCCCAAAGGTTCTTACTTCATTTACCCGAGGAGAGCTTCGTGAAATCATCTGTGCTGAAATGGGTAAAGAGAGGAAGTACACTGGATTTACAAAATTTAGAATGATAGAGCACCTTCTGAAGTTAATTGCTGGTAAGTCCAAGAAGAAATGTATAAATAATTCTCTTGATCTTTCTGCAGCAAAAACTGAAAAAAGATTTAAAAGACAAAGGAAGAAAGACAATCCATCTCCATTACCTACTGAGTTGGATCATTCTCACTGTGGGAGCTTTAAAGAAAATTTAAGAATCTTGATATGTCAGAATCTTGCATGCAGAGCTACTTTGAGTCCAGAAGATGTTTTTTGCAAGAGGTGTTCTTGCTGTATTTGCCATTGTTATGATGATAACAAGGATCCTACTCTATGGTTAACATGTGAATCTGATCCTCCTGATGAGGGTGAGTCTTGTGGAATGTCATGCCATCTGAGATGTGCTTTCCGGCATGAAAAGGCTGGGTTGAATGATGGTTGCTCTACAAAGTTGGATGGAAGTTTCTGTTGTGTTTCTTGTGGAAAAATTAACGGAATAATGAGGTAGTAAGCTCTTCTTCTACACATCAAAAAGTTTCACACACACACACACACACACACACACAAATGCACACACTTGACATTGAGAACTTTACTTGCTGCAGCATGGTACCATTAGGTGCATAAAAAAATCATCATTCCATTGGTTCCTTTGAATCAAGAGTGTTGAGGGCACAGACCCAACATGGTTGCACAAGGTGATTACCCCTTGGGTAGAACTGTGTCTTTATGTTTGGAAATCCAAGCTTTTACCACATCACCAAGCAGTGATCTCTACCTTGCAGATGCATGTTTACACATTAAGTAGTGATTTGGGAATTCATAATAACGACAACGACACAAGTGTTGGTGTTCCTGTCCTACATGACATGGGGTGTCTGATTTGGCAACTTCAGCATATAGATTAACAGTTTTTGACACCGTGTTTTATAGCACTGTAAAAACCGACAAGGGAGTTCTCTTTGTACTTTTGTTGCTTGGTTGAGATGGACTGTTGTTCGGGTAAGGTTTGAAAAATCAGGCAACATGATCTAGCATGTAAACAAACTATAGACACATAAACAAACATGTGTGTTATATGTTTTTATGCTATAATATAGTGGATCACATATCATAGAGACAGTTATGTGAGTAGAACAGTCCATAGAGCAACTCTGTATAATCCGACACCTGTGGAGGATCATTTCATCCACTAGCACAGAAAATGACCAATCAAAATTTGATTTGCTCAGTAGTAAGGAAATGCGAAACATAATTAAAGGCTTTACTTGATTAATATAATGTTTAATGTCCTTCAGAGCCTGGAGAAGACAGTTGTTGGTTGCCAAGGTGGCAAGAAGAGTTGATGCACTGTGTCTGCGAGTCTCCCTGTGCCACAAAATTCTAGAAGGAACTGAGCAGTACAAAGAACTGCTCAAGATTGTAGGAACTGCTGCAAAGACCCTTGAGAATGAAGTGGGTCCTCTTGATCTGGCATGCATGAAGATGGATCGTGGCATTGTCAACAGGCTCTCATGTGGTGCCGAGGTCCAGAAAATGTGCAGTTCTGCAGTGGAAACTTTTGATTCCATGTTTTCCAACCCAGACTCTGGTTATATAAAGCATAAAGATTCACCAAGTAAGTTTCCTTGTTTGATTCATGGTTTAGAGTACTATAATGGCGTTTCAATATACAATGCAGGATTGATCGAACTTTGGTATATGACATTTGAACACTAGTGTTGTATCAAATGAGATTATCATGGATTTGACTAATAGTCTATTACTAATCTACTACTAGAGAGAGATTTAGAAGCATACTTGTTTCCTTGTTATTGGTTGTTGGCAGCATGCAGGATCCACTTTGAAGAATCGTCTGCAACCACAGTAATCGTTGTCCTAGAATACGAAGATTGTCTGCTGGAGGAATTCTTGGGTTGCAGGGTGTGGCACCGGAAATCTACCATGAAGGATTACCCAGAAGAAGCCAGTTACATTGTACTAAAGCCGGAAAAGAGATTCAAGTTGATTGATCTTGATCCCTCAACTGAGTATTTCTGCAAGGTCTCTCTCTTTAGTAACACGGGAACTTTGGGTACTTGGGAAGCAAAATGGCTCACACCTGTGTCAAATGGAAGCTCTGTCCCAATTTTACATGACCATGGAGAGGAAAAAGATGCCTTAATAGTTGATGCTCAGCTATCAAAGGATTTAATGAATTGTAGCAACACTAAGTTAGCATTGGGCAACCATTTTGCAGAGCTTCAATCATTGAATGACATCAAGAAGAACAAGAATGATGGCTCTCTTGTGCTGCATAGCAAAATAAAGTTGGGTGACCGTTTTGCAAAGCTTCAATCATTGAATGACATCAACAACAACAACAATGATGGTTCCCTCGCCCTGCATCCATACACGATGAAGGTTTCATTGGCAAGTCCTACTTTCAATTCTCCTTCTACTCCGTGTAGGTCTGATAAAATAACAGAACTATCAGGCCTGGGTAGCAAGAAGCACTTAAAGGAGAGCGATTATGAGTATTCCGTGAGAGTAATTAGATGGCTAGAAAATGAAGGGCACATAGATACAGATTTCAGAGTGAAGTTCCTCACTTGGTTCAGCTTGAAAGCCACAATGCAACAGAGAAGGGTCGTGAGCGTTTTCATAGACACTTTTGTTGATGACCCTCCAAGCTTGGCTGGGCAGCTTATTGACACCTTCACGGATGAGATTTGCAATGAGCAGAAATTAGTTCTCCAACCCGGATTCTGCATGAGATTATGGCATTAAATATTGAACAGAACATGCCATTTTCTGCTTTAAATAGCCTTTGGTGGAAAACAGTACAGTATAGTTATCAATTTTAGAGTACTAAAGCAAACAGGTATGAATATCCTTGATAATGGGACCATATAGTTTGGTTAGATGACAGGTTGAGATGCATTTTTCTTTTGCAGAACAGAATAGAGCAGTGAATTCTGTTGATATTGCACCACATGAGAGCATTATTCTGCTAAGTGTCTCGGAATATTTTTTACAAATTTTTAAATCTTTTTTCTATTATTCGATCACAGAAGTCGCAAGCATCCATTTCTCAAGCATTTTTTCTCATGGATGATTAATTAATACCTCGACGAGGGATATGCTTTTCTGTCATGTTTAATGTTTTCCATTCTCAATTAAAGCATCTAAGATAATACAATCCATTGTAACATCAAACAAGAACATAATTTTAGAATAAGTTTCAGGAGACGAAATTATGAATGTAAGTTTCCAAAGCATGCCATTCTGCATTTTTTAGTGCCCCTTTGTGGAGTAATTAGGCCAAGGCCAGTGTGTATGCAAACAAGAATATTAAAACATGCAGTAACCTAAATGTCATGACGCGCCCTAACTAGTGTAGATATTGTTAAACCGCGTAGATATTGTCCGCTTTACACTCTCCTCATTTCGTGTTCATAGTTTTGCTCGGAATGCTTCTTTAAAGAAGCTGTCTATTGTTCTCGAGGGATGTAGCTGTCATATGTTACTTTCTTTTCTCTGTTTCTTTTGTTTTCTGATTTCATGAGCTGTACAAATTTTTTTCAGAAGGAAAATCAAAAGTTGTTTTATCGAAGCATCATGATCCATAATTGCCCTTTTCACTCTCCTTGTCTGGAAATTTAAGAGTTAAAAAATATGCATTAGTTCTCTGCAATTTTCTTGGCAACCATGTTGCTCCCCAATTTATTTTGTCATCACCCTAGAAGTTATTGTTGAAAAACCAGGAACCATACATTGAACTAAATAGGCCATAAGAAACAGAAACAATTTTCAGAAAACTGGCGGCTATTGTTTAATATTTTTTCTGTTCTCAAGAAATATAAAAACATATATATTAAAAAGTGGACCAAGTAGTGTCACGACCAGGAAAAATTATTAGTCAATCTTGAACCATTGATACTTGGTAGACTAATCCAAAGAAAATTAATTTAATTTTTTTTTATAAATATTAATACATTTTTATGGGGCCATTTTTTCAATCTTCAATCGGGCGTTTGAATTGAATTAGCTCAACAAGTGTCAATTGTTCAAGATTATTTAATAATTTCTCCAAGACACAATTAGGAAATATCTATGCATGAAAGTCTTAACAACCTCTCCCCCTAAGCAAAACAATGTGAGACGAAACAAATACGCAAGCATTTTCTTGTTTTTCAAAATATAAGTAATAGTATCTTACCATTTTCTTATAAATAATTTAGTTTAACAGAAAAAATCAAATTTGAAAAGTCTTCTTGGTTTATAAATTTGAAAATAGCTTTTTATTTTTAGATTATTGAAAATCAAAAAATTGTATAAAAACTTTGTTTGATTTAATTTTTTAAAAACTCTTATAAAAAGCTTGCTTTTAGAGGATAGTCCCTTAATAGTTATCTAAAAACAGTTTTTTATTTTTAAAATTTTTATTACTGTTTTCAGAGTTACCTTTTGATTAGTAATAGGTTAAGTTGAGCTTCTTGTTGTATACTTTAGGAAAAGCCCAACCAAAGACATCCCCGTGATTTGAAAAACATAGACACCATGTGAGATTTGCCTTAATTACAACAATATACAAGTTAGCCACTTTTTAAACAATGACACCCTCTTAAGGTTTGATAAAATTAACAAAGAAATTCCTGCCGTCACTTGCCACTTCTGACATAAGCTAAAATGAAATTATTGGCCAATGACTTGTGAATTACCTTTTTTTTTTTTTTTTGGGTTGTAATATTTCTCACTTTAATGGACCAATTTAACCCTCACTACCCTATGATTGTTCGCATATATACACATATATTATGTATTACACGCGCATGCACACACCTATTAAGCACCACCCACAACCAGCATCCATTATTTTCTCTCTCTTTAACAACCCCAACCACCAAAATTCAAAAATCCTAACTTCAAAATCTAACCACCCTTTAGAACCCTATCACTCCCTCAACCATCCATTCACCACATTTTCCCACTCATATATAATACACAACAAAATTTGAGCATTAGTTTGCAAAAGATTAGAGTTTTTTATATTGTTTCGAGATAATCTTTCGGGGCATATTGAGTTCCAAAACAAACTTAAGAATAAAACCCAGTTTTGTAATCTACCTAAGCATGTAAACTAAAGAGAACAAAGAATATAGGTCAAATTATGCATAAGAAAAGAAAACCCCACAGCATGCATTGTAATAAATGTATATAACTAAAGAAATATTGTTAGGGTTCTAGACCCTAAAGTGATCTATTGGAGATCAGGCACCAATAATCCTTTGAATTGGGGATTAGCCACCAAAATTCATAACTTTCATTCAATTTAATACCCTAATTCTATTACAATAACATCCTCATATAGGATAATTAAGAAGACAAATAATGAAATAACATAATACGTAAATAAACTAAATACTATTTAGAAAGAAGACTAAATTATATAAACTACTAATAATATTGGTATTGGTTTCCTAACATTACACCTCCTTGAATCACTACTTATCCTCAAGACGAAAAATCTAGCATTATGGGTTATTGTTGCAATAATTGGGTCTTCCTGACAAAGTGCTAATTCAAATGCTTGGGTTGCGAAGCAAGCGAACACCAGTTCTTAATATCAATGCAGCAAGTCACTCAAACTTAGTAACAAATTCACAAACAATGCTTGTTTGAAAGAGTTTGGCTAGTGAACCACAAGGGTCAATATGCTGTCGAGACCCAAAATGAGTATATATTGCACGAGAAAATTGTTACCAATTAAAAATGCCTAGGGATTGTTTAATCCAATGATACCAAGAAATACCATCTCATTGAAGATGCACTGCAGCTAATGGAACCATCTGCTCATCTAAAATACAATTGAGTTGTTGATATTATTCAGTTTGAAACAACCACCCTTCAGGATCGGTACTGTCAAATTTTGGAAAATTGATTCGGAGAGTCCGAACTTGAATAATCGTACCAACCCGTTGATCAACATCGTCGTCGTTTGACATTGTTTCGAGAACACAATCGTCACGTTAAGGATGATCAAGAATAAGTTGAGGATCTTGCCTATTCCGCAACATCATTTGGATTTGTTGAAGAATGACATTGGTGGTTTGTGCATGAACTCTTCGAAATTGATAGGCAACACAGTCCACCCTAGTAGTATGAGGGTCTGCCCTAGTAGCAAGAGTGTCAACCCTAGTAGTAAGAATGACAAATTTTTTTTCGAGTTCTTTGACCGTCATGAGAACATTAAAACAAAGATAATAGAGAAGAAAAATAAAAAATAAAAATAAGGGGTCTCAGATCGAATGTTCTGATACCTTATTGGAGAGCAGCAACTAATAATCCTCTGAATTAGGGATTGGCCACCAACATTCTTAACTTTCATTCAATTCAATACTCTAATTCTATTATAATAACATCATTATAGAAGAGAAGTAAGAAAACAAATAAGGAAATAACATAATACCTAAATAAACTAAATACTAATTAGAAAGAAGACGTAATAATATAAATTACTAATAATATTGGTATTGTTGTTGGGAAACGTGCAAGTTTTTAATTTTTTTAAGGGATTTTGATACATAGATCTTGATTCATCACATAGAGACAAGTTTTATGCAAAAATAAAATATAATGTATCATTCAATTAATAGATTGAATACTTACATCAAAGGTTTAAGTAAACTTTTAAATCTTTCCTCTAAAGTAAATGTTCTCACTTATTGTTGATCCCTTAGTAAGATCATTTCTTCTTCTTCTTAATAGTAATCTTCCCTTTAGGAATCACCAATATACCTCGATGAATGACCTTGGAGGCAAGGCTTGTGGTAGCCTCCTTTAGAAGAGCAAGCAAACCTTAAAAAACTAGAGAGAGAAAATATATTCTTTCTTTTCTTCCAAAAGTCTCCCTTAAAATATACATGGACCCATGTATATATAGGTAACATAAAGATACGGAAAAGAAATAATAAATCCTTCTCAATCTCTAATTCACATATCTCAATTCTAATAGGACTCCAATATTAACTTGGGTTATGGGTGAAAATCCTTTGGGCTTACTATTTTCTTGACAACTATAAATTAATAATTAGTCTGGTCCATTAAACCATGGACCCAATTCAATTAATTTATAAATTAATTTCTACTCCACTAAAAGAAATTAATTGTACTCCAATTAAATAGTAAATAACCTCTAAGTCAATATTGCACTTTGACCCCTCTATGCATAATTATTTATCGGATTATAAAACCATCAATCCGACAACATAATTAATATAATTATTTTGTTACCTTTGATTATTTCCGGCTTGATTACAATAAAAATTTGTTTAACAAAAAATAATAATTTACTAAATAAATATATACAAAACATTTTGTTTAAAACATATGAAGACCTTTGAATTTAATTTTTGATCAACCATAATCAATACAAAATAAATACAACTTGCATTGAAACAAATATCGAGAATATAACCCCCTAACTTTTAATTACATAACTACCCAAAGTGTCGGTCTAAGGATCCCGAAATATCCGCCGAGCAAATCAAAGTAATTATTAATTAATAAAAGAATCTATACTTCTCTCATGCTTGAGAGTCAAAAGCCATGACTGTGATAGAGAGCAATTGCATATGACGGCTCTCGCAATATATCCCAACCTATCATGGACTCGGTTCAAGTCTTAGTTAATTAAATGTCCATCCATAATTACTGACAATGAACAATTTATGATTACTATTTATATTCATGTATCGATCGTCATCACATACATATATAAATATCTCTTGTAATCAAGTGGATACTATTAATTCCATAATGAATCGAAACATAATATATTAAATTCACCAATTATATAAATCATAAATATTTCAGATATATCAGGAACATATGTCACTATAATCCAAATAAGAATTTGCTATGCCAGGGCATATAAATCCCAACAGCTCACACTTGCCCTCATAGCCAATTCAAATTGTATCTAACTCCAATGTTATCCATGTGACGATCAAAACTATTGATCGATGACACCTTTGTTAATGGATCAATAAAGTTATATTCCAATGCAATGTTCTAACCATGAGTACATTTTCTT